CTGATGACGAAGAATTGACAGAGCAGCCATCAAGTCTTAGGGAGTGTTCTAGGTTATTATATGCAGAGTTTTTAGGTCCTATAATTAACACCTCTGTTTTTTCAGAATTTAGCAGTAAGAAATTACTCATCATCCAGTTTTTTATATCGACTATGCATTCCGCTAGTTTTTTCAAATTGGTATGTTTCGCCGGGCTGCGAAGAAATATAGAGCTGAGTATCATCAGCATAACAGTGAAAGCTAACACCGTGTTTCCTGATGATATCTCCCAAGGGTAACATGTAAAGCGTGAAGAGTAATGGCCCTAGTACTGAGCCTTGAGGTACTCCATACTGCACTTGTGATCGATATGATACCTCTTCATTCACTGCTACGAATTGATGGCGGTCAGATAAGTACGATTTTAACCATGCTAATGCACTTCCATTAATGCCAACAAAGTTTTCTAGTCTATGCAAAAGAATGTTGTGGTCAATAGTGTCGAACGCAGCACTAAGATCCAATAGCACTAATAGAGAGATACAACCACAATCAGATGATAAGAGCAGGTCATTTGTAACTCTAATGAGAGCAGTCTCGGTACTATGATACGGTCTAAATCCTGACTGGAAATCGTCACAGATACCATTTTTCTCTAAGAAGGAATATAATTGTGAGGATACTACCTTTTCTAGTATCTTGGACAGAAAAGGGAGATTCGAGATCGGTCTGTAATTAACTAGTTCTTTGGGGTCAAGTTGTGGTTTTTTGATGAGCGGCTTAATAACAGCCAGTTTGAAGGTTTTGGGGACATATCCTAATGACAATGACAAATTAATAATAGTCTGAAGAGGATCTATGACTTGCACCTCTTTTAGGAACTTAGATGGAATAGGGTCCAACATTTTGTTGGTTTAGATGATTTAACAAGTTTATACAATTCTTCCTCTCCTATAGTAGAGAATGAGTGGAATTGTTCCTCAGGGGATCTATAGTGCATCTGATGCGATACTGTAGCTGACGGCTGCATGGTTACAATTTTATCTCTAATAGTATTGATCTTGGAAGTAGTAGTTCATAAAGTCATTACTGCTGTGCTACTGGGGAATGTCAACACCTGTTGATGTTTTTATTTTTCGTTAATTTAGCCACTGTATTGAATAAATACTTGGGGTTATGTTTGTTTTCTTCTAAAAGAGACGAAAAGTAATCAGATCTAGACGTTTTTAATGCTTTTCTGTAGGATAGGTTTGTAGGATAATACACACCCACAAGTTTATACAATTCTTCCTCTCCTATAGTAGAGAATGAGTGGAATTGTTCTTCAGGGGATCTATAGCGCACTTTCTGATGCAATACTGTAGCAACCGTATCTAAAATGCTAGAAAAGAGAGAGTCCATAGTTTGTTGCATCATCAAGTTCTTCTGAGCTATTGGATATGCTGAGGAATTGAGATAAATCAGGAAGTCTGAAAATATTGTTATAAATTGTAGCAACACCTCCCCCTTTACCTTTTGGCTCATGTTTGTAACAGTAATCTTGGGGGTAGACACGTTTAAAATAATATAATCATCAGGTTTTAGCCAGGTTTCTGTCAAACAGAGCAAATCTAGGTTATGATCGTGTCACAGTGTCTGGTTGTGGTGCCCTGGACTGGCCACTTGAGGGCGCTCTCCCGTTTCTGTGTTATATGTTTTGAACTCCATTTCCCATAGTCTGATCACCTGTTAATCATTTCTGATCATGATCACCGGTTAGTCATTTACTCTTCATCCCATCTATATATAGCATGCTCACTCTGTCTGTCGTTGCTGCAGTATTGTATTTGTATTTGTCATCTGATGTCTGATGTTGTCTAAGTTACACCGTGTTATCCGTTCCCTGTGTTTTGGATTACCTTTTGCCACGTTTTTGTTCTGATCTGTTTATTTATACTTTAATAAACTGCACTTGGATCTTACCTTGTTTTCTCCTGGCATTCCGTGACAGAATACTGCAGCCACTACAAGATCCAGCAGTTTGTTTTTCTTTTTCCCTTTTTGAACTATGGACATGCGGATTGTCCCTCCTGCCACAGGGAAAGAGCGAATGGCTCGATACCGGACTCTGATGGCTCGGAGGCAGCAAGGAATGGAGGTTGGTGGTTTTGCCCAGACCTTTTGGACGCTGGCGGTGGGGCTGAATTATAATGAGGCTGCACTTAAG